TTTACATGAAATCCATGTTACTGAAACTTACGTGAAATTACATGTATTGTAAGTTTGTAAAATGTAATTTTCAACCCCAACGTACATAACTTCTACAATAATTATTGCAGTGGCACATGATTATTGACCTGCATTACAAAAATTTTACCAGCATTATTAGACTTTGCGTGCCAGCTCTATGGACAATATTATTTATATAACAAAAATTACATATCAGAAATTTACACGCAAATTTCCGCCCTATATACTGATATATCCCTATATCCTTATATATAAAAGACATTTGCATTATATATGATACTTTTCTACGATAATTTTAACATTATAAATATCGGTACGTTCAATCTTATTAAATTTCCGATTAAATACTTGCCCAACATGTTTAGTGCTGTAGTGTGTTTAGTTTGTGCGAAAACATATATATCTCAAATTATATAACGTAACATAAATTGTAATTTATATGTATATAACGATAACGTAACATAAATTGTAATGTATCGATCATGCAGAAATCTAACTCAGCTTAACCCGGCGGATCACCCTGGTTGGATGTTTTTGGACGTAGTGTTCCACAAAAAAAGATTTGAACTGATCCGCTATTTTTAATGGGCATGAAAGTAGCATTTTACAAAGTGTACTCGAACTAAAACTGTACATATAATTATTGTCACGGCTGATGCTGAATTTGGCTGATGTTGATTACGTATTCAGATCGCAGGTCGATCAGGAAAAATCAAAACAAACATTCGGTTTGTTTATAACTCAAAAATCTGCATAGGAAACATATCTTTAGTATTCTTACAAAAAATTTTCTGGGACAATTTTGCTATTATATCAACTAATACCTAACCATATCGTAAGCACTAACCCTAACTTAAATGAAGATAAGTACAAAGTATCGCCATCCTACGTAACCAACAACAAAGTTCTTTAAGTTCGTTTGTGTTTAGGGTTATCGCCTATATTAGTGTTAGCATTTAGGAGGTTATATAGTAAAATCGCTCAAGGAAAACTTTTTGTTAATGTATAAAGTATTGTTTCTTATGCAGATTTTTGATTTTTGACAAAAGAGACGTTTGTTTTGAATTTTCATGATCGACGTACGATCTGCAATTCCGGCCTGAATTCTCACGTGATATTCAGCATCAGCATCAGCCGTGACATTAATTACGTATAAGTATATTTTCAGTTGTGAAATGTTACATTCACATCCATTAAAATTTGTGGATCCGCTTGAATCTTTTTTGCGGAACACTATTTGGACGGGTCCAGTCTCTAATCGAGTCTCGGATGTGAAATCACGGAAAATAGCAGATTTCTCCGACAATTTTAACAAATAAATATAGATGTTACTTGAAAAATATGATTGATAGGCAAATCACATAATTGCTAGAAAAAGTTTGCGTTAGCATAAATATTTATCAATATAATATAAATTGGTTTAATTTTTCAGATCAACAACCTTTACGTTCATTTTGAGTAATACGTACAAGAGCGATTCAAGTTAAAGACTTGCAGATCCTTACAAATAATATCCGTATGACAAATTTTGCCCAATAATATGCAAGGTTTCGAACACTTGTTATACGTTATACTAGGACTCGAGCAATTCGTAAATAGGTCAATAAGATACCAAAAAAAGAAAATTTTGAAAAATTCAATATACATCCATTTATGCATAATAAAGTTGTCAAAAATAGGCATTTTCGGAGCAAAGACGGCATGAAATAAACAAATATAGATCTAACTTATCAATGTATAGCTTGAAGTCTTGTTATGCTCTACTCTTAAATTTTTTTCAAATCATTTAGTTGGAAAGTTGTCAATTAGTTGATTTTTCAATTAATTATTTGGGTCATTAGCTTTAACCCATTCTCCACTATTTTCATTTATATGTTAAAAATCATCTCTTGGCACTAAAGTATATTCAAAACTGCTCACCATATAGATATATTGATATATAACAATTGCAAATATGTCTGAACGAAAGCCAATAATTTTGTTGTGTGAGTAATATATAATTTGCATATATTCTTTTTTAGAATAAATAAGAATAAAAAAATATCAAGAAATGAATATAATTAAAAATAAAATCACCTTTGATTATTCACAACCCATGGTTTTGATGAATTTTGAATAAATATGAATTTCATACTCTATTATCATTCAAATAATGGAAATTCACCAAGATGCGGGTTGTGCCAATCATTCATTTTTATTTTTATTTTTATTTGTGTATGACTTTTATTAATGATGTTCTATTCTAGTTGTTCTAATAAAAGGTCCTATTTTATTATTATTATTATTAAGCTCATCCCAGATCTGTTTCCCACGCATTTCAACGACCATTCCTTCAACGCTCTCAAGAATTTCATATTATTTGCGAACCATTACTTGATTGTATAATGGGTCAACATGTAAAAGATGGTAAAAATAGTGATGAAGATCCTTTTGAGCATTCAAATCCTAATTTAATCATGCCAAAAGTTTTATCTATCTTTGACGAAGTTTGGAAAACCCATTATGATGAATCCTCGAATAAATCAAAACGAGTACTTTATCATGAACATGCAGGTCTTCTTCTAAGTGCTATATCAGGAACTTCTTTTTTAACAAATCCTCAATTTTTGGAAATGACACACACATTCTTAATCCGTAATCCTGAAAAATCTGTAAAATCTTTATATAAAGCTGCTAACTTCATAATTAAAACTGACTTCAATAAAAGTCGAGTAGGATTAAGAGAATCCAAACAAATTTTTGATTTATTAAAAGGCTTAAATAAACAACTTATTGTTGTGGATGCTGATGATTTGATTAACGATCCAGAAAGAGTTTTGAAGAAATATTGTGAGTTAATTGGAGAGGAATATAAAGAAGAAATGATTCATTGGGAGGCAAAACCTGTTAATGAGTGGAACGTAAGGAACGCCACTGACGCAAAACTTATGATCCAGTAAATATATTTTATTCGAAAAACATAAATTAATTTATCAATTTTGTTTAATTAATTACTAACATAAATAAATCCTCACTAGTAATGCGGAAAATAGCACGGGCTTTAATAAGTTTACTAATAAAAATGATCCTGAAATTGAATATCCCCAAATTGTCTATGATGCTATCGTTGAAAACAAACCGTATTATGATTATTTATATCAGTTCAGGATTTAATTAGCATGTAAAAAGAAAATATTACATAAATTATTTGGTTAGAAGGGATTAAAATTTCTTTTTATATTGCTCATTTGTTTATTATTTATGCTTATAATTTTTTGAAATTTAATCATAAGAAATTTTGAACATATTAAAGTAGGACTTAGTGTGAATCTTATATATATATAAATGTAAAACAAGTTTTATCTTTTATTATAAAATAAAGAAATAAATAAAAACATAAATTTATATCCATTGATTAGATCATTAACTCCGATTCTATTACTCATTAGTTTAAATAAATAAAAATAAATCATATCAACATCCTTCTCTGATCTTCACAATTTACTATCAATGTTTATAAATTCATAAGCATTTTTTCAATCTAAAATTCATTAGATAAATCCCGCTATTTTTATAAATGTAAAAAAAAAATATTCTTTAAACAACATCAAATAATCATATTGGTTAGTCGGATTTAGTCGTAATTTGGCTAACTTTTCATTTAATTGTTGTCGATTTCATATTACTAAGAGTCTCCTGGAGGTCAACTTTTATATCAGCCAAATCAGTACAATCATCGTCTAAAAAACTTGTTATTGTAAATAATATACGAAATTGTAGTTATTAATTTAATAAGCTGGTAGGATTTATAGTAAGGCGACTAAATTGATCGTTTTTTTTTTTAAAAAAAAAGACTTAATTATTATTAATAAAAATATGAAGAATTATCATTACATATCAATATTTAAGATTATGGAACTCTGGGGGTTTTCTAAACCGCCTCAATCATTGAGTCAAAATGTGTTAGAAATGTGTTAGGAATTAAATTTAATTAGCGGAAATTATGATTTACAGTATTAATCAAATGCTGAAATGAGTTTGTTATCAAGATAAATAATACACATGTAAATTTAATATTTAACCTAAATTTCATTTCGTACTATTTATTTTTTAAAAGTCTATATCTATTGCAATACGATATATACGGTTGTTGCTCAATTCATACATGATAATTTTTAGATGGAAAAGGGTTTCAAGATAATGAGTCAGAAAATATGTACAAGATATTTCATTAATAACTCTGTTCCCACTTATGCTATTTTCTTTTAAACAATCTTGTTAAAGCAAAGTTCATAATGAATAAACTGATTAAAATGTTATTTGTAAATTGTCCTTTAAAGGTCAATTGATTCTCTTTGCGAATTAAAATCAATAGAGTGATATTTTGTTTAGTGAATCTAATAATCGCATTTCCTTCAACGTCAATTTTATTAAACAGGGGTCAAATTAATGTTTATGCAGAGAGCTTCTGGAAAAAATTTGCTTTTTTAGGACCAAGTTATAATCAGTAAGATTCAAAGAAGTTGAAGCATTATTTACATAATGAACATTAATAAATGATTTTGCGCATTCATGATCAATTTTGTTGCCACGAAGATCCAAAGGAATCAAAGCATTATTCCTGTAAAGAGTTTCTACTACTCTTTCAGGGCAAGTCTATTAAAATCAAGATTCAGAAAAGGTATTACTTATGTAAAGAGCCTCAGTCAATGCTTTTGCACCTTCATGGTCAAATTCATTACCACAAAGATTCAAGGAAGTCAAGGTATTATTCCTGTAAGGAGCCTTTGCTAATTCTTTTACTCAAGCTGACTCCAAGCAAGATACAAAGATGTTAAAGTGCAACATTATAAAGAAACTTTGCTAATGCCTTTCCATCTTCAAAATCAAGTTGATTGCAAGCAAGGTTCAAAGATGTCAAAAAGTAATTACTGCAAAGAATTTTTGCTATTGTTTTCTACTTTCAGGTCCAAGTTGAATCATAGTTTCTACTAATTTTTTACATCTTTATAAATAAGTATGTTATTAATAATGAGATTAAATTCGCATTTGCATAGAGAACATCCACAAATAACTTTGTCATTCCTTCAAAATCAAAGCCATTGCATTCAAGGTTTAGAGAAGTTAGATTGATGTTTATATTAAGGATTCTCTTTCAATAATTCCATAAATTTTTAAATTTTCAAGTTTGCTAAAGAAACATTTTGATCAATGAAAATAAATAATTCATAAGATATAATTTGAATAATAATGTGATTATATGAATAAGGTTGAGCTGAATTATATGGATAATATAAGAGAAAACCAAGTTATCCTTCCATACTAATCAAAAAATTATAGTCTTATATAGTTGTAGTATTGTAATGATGGACTCTAAATTTCGGAAGCTTTATTTATATTTGTGAGATAAGTCATTTTTGTTTAGCGATAAATAATGTTACGGCTGATTATGAATTTTGGGGTCTTAATTTGGATCCATTACACCTAACAAAACCCACGTATACTCTTTTATTAACAATTCTATCCCTAAACTCTAGTCTAACTATTACAAAAAAGCTAAAAAAATACATTCCAAAAATTATAAAATTTCATATCAAAGTAGGCCCCAATATTCAGCATCAGCCGTGACAAATAATATACCATTATAGTCCTTTCATCAGCGAAATTATCCAGCGATTTGCTCCACAATATTGAATTATCATAATTACAGTAATCCTAAAAAAAAAATATTTTCATCATTTTGCAAATTTCCGATTTTTATTGCTGATGGGCATTTTTTTTTCATTAGACCGTTATGGAATTGTGGAATGTCTTCAATAACAGTTGATCTTAAATCCTTACGCCATATTTCTATTTGAAGTTTGATCCAAGTTCGTGATTGTAGTATACAGGTTTTCATATGCAATTTCCCACATAATTATTCAATTAAACTGACATATCCCTTAAAAGTTTATGATACAGTAATGCTATTTTATCTAAAAATCAATTTCAAAGGTGATTTATAGAAATTAGCAATTAACAACGATGCGTTCATATGGTACCACTGTAACATATTCTTCTACACTTTTTTTAAATTTATTATCCAAATATTTTTTCACACCCACGTAATTCAAAGTTTTTTTTCGTATGCAGAATTCGATTAGCGCCTTAGCTTGTTTCTCGTTTTCAAGACTATCAATTATCAACTTTTTTAAAGGTGCAAAGCAATTACTGAGCAAAATATCAATATAAAAACTAAAGCAAAAATTCCTTATTTCAAAATATTGCAATGTTAATGGCAATACTTTTGCAAACTGTAGAACTTGTTCCTTTTCTTCTTCTGATGTAATGATATCAGTACGCCATTCACACGATAAAATGAGGAATTGAAGTTTTTGTAAATTATCAATAAGATCTAGGAGTTGTGAGGAAAATTCGATATACAAAATTTCTAGATATGTAATATTTGGGCAGAAGGACTTAAGGGTTTCTAGTAATAACGATTGTTCTAAAATCATCCCACCTACTGATTCAAGTTTTAGTCGTTGTAGTAATATGCCAGTCTTTTCTAAAATTAATACTATGTTTGAAGCATCAATTGGATAATCAACTATCTCTAAAGTGCTGATTTTATATTCTGATAATGTTAACAATTTTGCATATTTGCAATCCCTGAGACGAAGAATTTCCAAATTTTCACAATTCATTAATATTTCGAACTCTTCATTACAAATACAACCTACTAATATAAGTTCCCGTAATGATTGTTTTTGACTCTCTAAAGCTGAAATGATGCCGTAAAATTTATCAGAATAATGACCCCTTTCTAAGGTCAATTGCTTAAGTTGCACTTGTGAGTTAATAATGGATACAAATGCATGATATATTTGTGGATCATGCTGAGGATAAAATTGACAAAATTTCAAAGCACTAATTTTTGTAGAGTTTATGGCTAAGATTTTTAATAGTGCAATAATATAATTAATGTAGTTGCCGCAGCCTTCTATTAAACACAGAGATAGATCTTGAACTTGAGAGAAACATTGCCTATTTTGTTCTAATGAGTGGAAGATCTCTGGCTTAATTATAGTATGTTTAGAAAAATTTAAATGTAAGTTGAGCAAAGAGGCGCCATTATCAACAAATAATTTAAATAATAAATTAGTTATGTGATATATCCGTGGGTCGTTATATGATATCGAACCAACAAGCTGGAGTTCGAGCCATTTTTTAGTCATCTCTTCTAGATCAAATAAATCGAGAATCTTAAGAAATCTTGCATAGTTAGACAGTGTTTTGGAAAATTGTAGATTGATCCCATGGTC